CACATGAGATAAAATTCTTGGTCTTTACTAAACTAATATGTAAAATAATTTTATTGTTACAATGATAAAAATGCATCATTGAATTATATCACACCTATATCAAGCGAAAAATTGCTGATTTTGGTTCCGCAAAAATATATTTTAGATATACAAAAATTAAGACAATGCGTCAATAGACTTATGGTTAAGGATCGAATACGTAATATAAAGTAAGGATACGGATTCCCGATCACGAGGTCGGGGGTTCGAATCCCGCCATTCGACTATTGTCGTAAACCATATCCTAGCACAAGCCTAGAGCTTAGTTGGAATTGTAACAATATTAGTAAATTTACAAAAAATCTGCTAATATTTTCCTTAAAAAAAGATATAAGGACTCCGTGGCAGTCGACATGTAAACAAACGGGCCGACATGGCTCTAGACCAAATGCAGAGCCCAAGATAGAGCGAGCTGGCGGCGCAATATGGACATCCTCTGCCCCACTACGGGGACCATAAGGCATTAGGTCTTAATGGAGGCTTCGAAAGTTAGAAAATCAAGCCAATAATTACAAATGTGATTCATATAACGCTAACTAATTCACTTATATAATGAGGAAACTATGCGCCTGGTTCCGCATTACAGGCTACACGTGCTGCCTCTAAAACATGACGGATTACTTCAATATGGATAAGCAGTTATAATGTAGATTATGTAACGCTCGATTACTTGTTTTAATATTGAGAACATAGCAATTTGTTACGCCAGGGTAAAAATCAAGTCCAGTAAAATACTGGAAACGTCGCAACGAAAGCGAAAGATAAGTAACAAACATTTTCAAGATTGCAAAATATTCAAGGTGTCCTTAGTCAAATAAATGATACGTTTTCATTTTTAGCAGTGTTTAATAATTCAAGTTTTATCAAACTCGACACTTTTCAATGTTGTACTAAGATTATTACTGCATCGTCTTGTTTATTTAATTTAACACTTTATGTTTATTATAAGCAAGAGAAATTAAATGATATTCATATACAAATTTATAAATAAACCTAAATGTGTCGGCTTAATTTTAACGGCCGGTAGTCTGCCTCTTCTTATTTTTTTTCAGAAACGAAAGTGATCTTTTCTCCGAAAACTACTAGCTCGATCATCTAATAGTTAGCACATAATATTTATGTGTGTGCGGTGTGGGTAGGAAATAAAGGCCTTAAACTGTATCCTACCGAGACACTCTACACAAATATCATATTAATTTCAAATCACACCGGCATAAAGGCGTGAAATGGAAGCAATATTGCGTTTCGACTTATAACAGGTCGTCATGTTTTCGGGGTTTTTGAAATAGATTGTTCAAACAACAATAAAATTACATCATCAGGTTGCGTTTTTCCCTACGGACAATCCGCACAACACATGCTTCTTTAACAGCCGTCATATCTCAATTAATTCCCTTCTTAAGTATCTTTCACACAATCTTTGAATACTTTCTTCGGTTTTCCTCTAAATTAGGATTTTTTCATCCACATTTAATCTAATTATTTTTTTGTTTTTGAAATAATCAACGCTTCACATAATATGACAACATTTTAGCGACCATCAATGGCGCAACGTTCAAGCTTTCTCTCTTTATACCTACTTCATACCAAATTCCTTTTCAACGTACGAAATTTCCATTAACGTTCAATACGTCCTTCGGTGGCTCAGTGTAGTTTTATATCGCATTGCCCTCCTCCTCCTCCTCCTCAATGAAATTAAATGTAATTTATGATAATTATTGTTAATTGACTTATCGCCGACTTAACATTATATATTTCATGTTTAGTAATCAGCGGGAGGACGCGGCCAACGGGCGATCAATATTGTTTCCGTTACATTACGTGTTTTGTGACGACTGCCGACTACCGCAAGCGGGCTGCTTTTGACTGCCCAGTGCTTTTAACGGTCCGCTTTCGGTTGCTCAGTGCCGCTGACGGCCTGTTTTCGGCTGCCGTCGCTCAGTCGTCTGTCAGTTAACATCACATCTAATAGTTATGGATTGCATCACTTTCAGTGTTAATGGAACTTTTTATTCGGGTAAGTTTTTTCTAGAAAATATAATTTATGGTTGGATGCAACATGTAGTCTTCGTTTAGTCACATTATGACACAATAAGGTTAACAAATAAAATAACTAACACTAACTAGTAATGTATTTATACCATGCTTGGCCAACTTGTCCATGTTTTCTGTAGATGTCTGAAGATCTACTATGGAGAGAAGAGAAGGTAAAGATAACTTATGTAGCATTGCCACTACAATCGATGAGATTGATGGTATTTCATTGGGACAGTACTACGTACCCCTTGCAGTTCTATGTTTGATTGTTTTCCAGTTGGTAGCGAAGTGAACACGGATGTGACTTTGCTGGATTACCTAAGGCGTCGGTTACGGCTGATCGGCACCAAGTACATGTGCCGAGAGGCTGGCTGCGGCGCCTGTATCGTGACTGCGGTGCGGGCCCCGGACACTCCGCCCACCGCTGTCAATTCGGTAACGCCTCGCCACACCACACATCACACGCTGCACGTATCTAAGCTTATGGCACGATTACTTTGTTAGTGTATGGTGCTGGTGACGTCATGCCAGGGCTGGAAAATCACGACGGTGGAAGGTGCAGGCGGGCGGCTGGCGGGCTACAGTCAGGTGCAGACTACGCTGGCGCAGCACAACGGCACGCAGTGCGGCTACTGCACCCCCGGCTGGGTCATGGCCATGCATAGGTACATTTAATAAAACCTATTAACTAAAGTAATTTTTTTTCTTTGTACACCTAAATAGGAGTTGATTTAAAAATTTTATTTTTCGACTACAAGGAGCAATTGTATCTACATAATTCTACATGGGCTTGAAGATTGTCGCTACGTGTTTTTTTCCAGTTTGCTAGGCAGCAGAAAAAACTTGACTATGCTAGAAATAGAACAGTCATTTGGGAGCAATGTGTGCAGATGTACTGGATACAGATCAATACTAGATGCGTTCAAGCGATTTACAGTAGACGCCCCCGAATCTAAAAGAATAACAGATATAGAAGACTTGCATTTATGCCACAAGAGCGAGAATGGATGTAAAAAGACCGACTGTGAGGACTACGAGTGGTGCATAGTGTTGAAAGAAGAAGTTGATAAGTCTTCTTCTATTTACATTAAGTTGGAAGACGGCCGCGACTGGTATAGGGTTTATACTTTAAAAGAAGCCCTTAGAATTATATCTACTAAAGATATCAACTCCTATATGCTTGTCGGTGGTAATACAGCTAAAGGTACAAAATTTGATAAATGTAACTAAAACTATATAAGCTTATTGTTAAGAACAAAAAATCATGAAATTTTCGAGTAAATTTTCTTAGCTATAGCAAAATTTTACTACTTAGTATGTCTACTAAAAGTTTTGTCACACAATCTATGACCTACTGATTTTCTGGAATTGCCGTTGCAGTACTTTTTTTCTTTTTAGGTGCATATCCAATATTCGATTATCCTGAAGTATTAATAGACATTACTGGAATAACAGAATTAAAAGGTTTCGTTTTGGATCAAAATCTAGTTTTGGGAGCGGGTTTGACCCTAACCGAAACATTGGGTATCTTAAAGTTAATGTCTACTGAAAAATATTATTTCAGATATTTAGATAAATTGTACGATCACATTGAAATGGTGGCTCATAATGCTGTAAGGAATGTATGTATGTTATATATTAACCTCTTTAAACGGTATATCGTCTAATTTTTCCTGAACAAAATTTAAATTTACAGATTGGTACAATTGCTGGAAATTTGATGATAAAACACAAACATCATGAATTCCCTTCTGACTTGTTCCTTTTGTTTGAAACTGTTGGAGCACAACTCACAATTTGTACGTATGAAATGTATATTATTCCATAAGTATGAGAAGGAATAATTTTTCCAGTAAAATATTTAATTATAAGTAAATATTCACTTTTTCACTAGAAAAAAAAAATATTGAATATTTTAGTGACTCGTTTGGAAAAGAAAACAGTGACAATGCAGGGATTTATAAAAGAAGACATGTCAGGAAAAATTATAGTAAACGTACTTTTGCCACCTCTGACATCGGACTACAAGTTGGTTACCTTCAAGGTAAAGGATGAAATAAAACATAACAATAAAAAAAAATCATTTTTCCGATAATTTACAAATAAATTTTACTATGTCAATATTATTTTCAGATAATGCCCCGATCGCAAAATGTTCACGCCATAGTCCACGCGGGCTTTCTTTATAAACTGAACAAAAGTAATACCGTTTTGGAATGCAGACTGGCATTCGGTGGTATATCTCCCACATTTACCAGAGCGTACAAAACTGAAAAGTTTTTAGAAGGGAAAAATTTGTTTTGTAATGAGACGTTGCAAGCCGCTATCAAGGTGCTGGATGATGAACTGGTTATAACACGGGAGCGACCAGAACTCTCCGTAGAGTACAGAAGACGACTTGCAATTGGCCTGTTCTACAAGGTAGAATATTGCTATGGCAATCATACATCACAATAATAAAGATAAAGTATAAACTGAGAAAAGACCAGGAACTGAAATATTCGATGAAAAAGTTTTTCTTCACGTCACTCGTGCGTTACGCTACGTAATACATAGTAATAGTAACAATTAGAAATCGTAGTTTGTTGCCCGAAAAGTAAAAGAAAATAACACACTATACTAACTAGGTATCGATATTGAAATTGCTAATTCAAAACATTTCTTGTGTAATACACTAATTGTACTGTTTCATCATTTAGTATTTCTAATCGACAATTAGCTGTTGGTTGACTTAAGTGATTTACACAATTACTACACAGTCCTAATTTTTTCATTCCATTGTCCGACTGCCTTTATATCCGCAGTTGCTTTGGACTTTTGATTAATTTAACCTGAACTAACATTTACAGGGTCTTCTTCGCCTCTGTCCGCTAGATATAATTGGGCCGCGATATAAATCGGGTGAGGTGACGGTACATGATGCCCGCCCTGTCAGTAGCGGCTGCCAAGTCATAGAGACTGATCCAACACTATGGCCTCTGACCAAACCGATACCCAAACTTGAGGCTCTGGTAAATATAACTTTGATTAATTTAACTTCAGGCGTTTGACACAGACAAGGAGACGTAAATTTCCAGTATCTGTATCTACATTCTAGAGAATTTCCATGTCTTCTACAGTTTTTGTTTCATGACTCAGCTGCAATGCTCCGGAGAGGCAGTGTACACGGACGACATGCCGCCTATCAAAAACGAGGTATTCATTTCTTTCGCGCTGAGTACCGTGCCCCTTGGACGTCTGGATTTCATCGACCCAAGCAGAGCGCTGGTGAGATTGTAACAGTAATTGCAAAAAAAATATCAGTTTAAACCAACGAAAAAACAGTTATCTTTATTAATAGATTATCGGACTTAACTTTTCAGAAAGAATCTGGAGTTATAGCGTTTTATTCTGCAAAAGATATACCTGGATTAAACTCTTTCACACCTTTTGGAAAAAAACTGTATTTGGCTAATGAAGAAATATTTTGTGGTGGTGAAGTAAAATATTATAATCAGGCAATCGGTATGATCGTTGCCGAAACGCAACAAATCGCAGATCGAGCAGCGAAACTAGTAATCGGACATTACAGTAAAATTAGGAAACCAATTTTAGATGTTAAAGTAGCTAAAAATGATCCGAATAGAATATCTCTTTATACATCAATAGTAGCGACGGACAGGGGACTAGATGTATATAAAGTGATACATGGATCGATGACTATATACCAACAATATCACTTCTGCATGGAAACACTAACGAGCATCTCAATACCAGTGGAGGAGGGGTTGGAGGTGCACGCGGCGACACAGCATACTGAGGTCATACAGGTCATGACTTCGCGTGTCTTGAACATTGATCAAGCTAAGTAAGTACTATCATACATTTAGATAATGGTATAATACAAATTATCTAACTGCTATTTTTATTTCCACTCCCGAAAATTGTTCATATGTTTATCCAAAACTCATTAATATTGAGCTGTTTAATTATATAGGGTGGATGTGCATGTGCGTCGTGTAGGAGGCGCGTACGGCTATAAAATATCTCGGGCAATCCAAGGTGCGGTGGCGGCCAGTCTTGCAGCGTACCTGCTGAACCGTCCATGTCGGTACATACAACCTCTGACAACAAATACTCGAGCTGTCGGAAAACGACTGCCGTGTACTACGGAATATGAGGTGTTCATGTTTGTTATGCTTTATAGAAACCATAGAGATTCGTTTACAAATGTGAACAATTTCACCAAATTTTCAGATTCATAATAATTGAAATGTTTCTTAGCCAAACCGTTTTATAAGAATAATCTTATGAGACCAAAACTTCTGATCTCTTAAGTTCAAGGTAATTCAATATTTGTTACTTAATGTTGAATTCTTGTCTATGCTCAGGTCGGTGTGAATGCTGAGGGTGTCATTCAGTACATAAACTGTGACTTGTACACGGACAACGGCTATGTAATAAACGAACCGCTTATCACGATCGGTCTCTCGATCTATAATAATTGCTACAAAAAAACGACGTGGAATTATAAGTTTTATAACGCTGTTACGGATACTGCATCTAATTCTTGGTTTCGATCACCAGGTAGGTAACATTTTATCTTTACATTCTATCTTCCGTTTTATCTGCCGTATTCTACAATACACACACATTGTCCCTTTTCATTTTCTTAACAGGTACATTGGAAATAGTAGCAAACGCCGAATTTATTTTGGAAAAAATAGCATATGAAATGTCATTAGATCCGGTGCAAGTGCGACTAGCTAATCTAGACAACGATAACAGAGACGCTATCGTTGAAATGTGGGAAACTCTAAGAGAAAAATCGCAATATGACAAGAGACGGGCAGCCGTGCAGAAATTCAATGCACAAAATAGATGGTTGAAACGCGGACTTAGGGTTAGTTTCATGAGATGGTCGTCGGAGAATCCTCAATTTATCTCCGCAAACTTATCAATATTTTACGAAGACGGGAGTGTTGCCATTACCCACGGCGGAGTTGAAATAGGACAGGGTATCAATACTAAAGCTGCTCAAATATGTGCCTATTTTCTAAAAATACCACTGAGTAAAATTCAAGTAAAACAACAAATTACTTTTATTTCACCAAACGTAGGAGAAACTGGTGGCAGCGTCACGTCACTTAATATCGGTCTAGCTGTCCAAAGATGCTGTGAGGAAATATTGAGGAGATTGGAACCTATACGTAAGATTTTAGGTAATCCTACATGGGAGGAACTCGTTAAAGCGGCGTTTTTAAATAATGTTGATTTACAAGCACGAGGGACCGTCACTCCAGCGGAATCGTTTCCTTATGACATCTATGGTGTAATTGTGACTGAAGTTGAAACTGACATTATAACTGGGCAAAGTGAAATAAAACGAGTGGATCTCATAGAAGATGTAGGTCAAAGTGTTAGCCCGATCATAGATATAGGCCAGGTAAGTTATATTTAGTTATTCCTAATAAGATGTTAGCAATTTAAACCATTAATTTCATTTACAAGTAAGTGATTTTTCCCACCATTTCATAGATCGAAGGAGCCTTCGTAATGGGTCTTGGATATTGGACGTGCGAAAAAATGGAATATGAACCGAAAACCGGGGAGGTGCTCTCTGACCGCACCTGGAATTATTGGGTGCCGCAAGCTAGAGATATACCTCAAGATTTTCGGGTGTACTTTAGAGAGAAGTCGCGTAATTACGAAATATATCTTGGAGCCAAGGGTAACATATTGCCTTATTAAAGTAACTCAATATTTTTCTATATTACTTTATACAAGTAAGGATCAAAATATGTATTTCTTATCTGTTAAACTATTGCACAGTTTTCCAATTTTCTTCGTGTATTCTAGTCAAATTAATTGGTTATGCTTATTCTTAAGCTTCATGAAACATTCATATTTTCAGTGCAATATTTTGAATGTAAATATGAATGTTTTCAGCAACTGGAGAACCAGCTACGAGCCTGGCGGTAGCGGTGCCATTCGCAATGAGAGAGGCTATCGCTTCAGCGCGACAAGACTCCGGGATACCAACCACTCAATGGTTTCAAATTGGTAAGATATTCAATACTGTCATATAATTAATAATTTATCCAAAAATAATCCACATACTTATGCGAGAAAAACAATAATAATTATTTTTCAGATGGTCCATACACCACCGAACAGATATGTTTAGCAGCGGCTACGAAGTTTGAGGACTTCAAGTTTTACTAACACGAAGATAATATTTAGTTAATAAAATACACTAAATAATGACAATATATTTATCCTATCAGTTAGAATACGTTTTAATTATTATCTTACTTATTAAAAACCTGTATTATGAAGTAGCTTGCTTGATACAATGGCTTGTATACATGCACGAATAGGTGAGACAATCGACGATAAAGTAAATTAAAATGAAGTCGACACAGGGGATTTAAATAAAATAAAATTAACAATTTTAAAATTATCTACTTATATTAGGGTAACGATATCAATGAAACTAATTAAATTTAAAATCTTCATATTTGGTATCAGCAGCTAAGCAGATACGTTCCACAGTCCAAGGTCCATCTGAAATTATAGAAAAAACATACATATATAAGTGATATTTTCACAATCACCAAAGTATCGTATGTAGGGAAATCCTATGTAATCTTACCAATTTGAAACCATTTCGAAGAGGATATCCCACCGTCTGATCTGGCTGAAGTTATAGCTTCTCTCATGGCAAATGTAACGCCCACTGATAAACACAAAGGTGGTTCTCCAATCGCTGGAAACCGTAAAGTTATGAATTAAAAATCCAAATATTTAACAAAGAATAATGATGTATATTGTATTAGAAATATTTATTTAAACTACGTGAATCAAGGCTTTCCATAAAAACAATGTTATTCACTTTATTGTAAGCAAAGACCACAAAATTTACATTATGTATAACTCTTGGTCTTTGATTATATTACAAAAGTAGAAGTAAACAATTAAGACATAAATAAAACTGGGATACAATTAATATTCTTAGTGAAGTTAGTTAGAAAGTATGTTAACACCTCAAAAATTATTAAAATATGAGTTACCTTTAGACCCTAGAAAAGTGGAAGGTCCTTGAGAGTTTTTTCTGAAACTAATTCGAAAGTCTTGCGGTATATCTCTCGCTTGTGGAACAAAGTAGTTCCATGTGCGATTTGTCAAATTTTCTCCGGTTTTAGGGTCATAAACTAGCTGCTCACTCGTCCAATATCCAAGACCCATAACAAATGCTCCTTCTACCTAAAATTATGACGCACATGTACCGTGTCATGCGATAGCAAATTCTTAAATTTAACATATTCATTATTCTTACTTGACCAACATCCACTTCTTGATTGACACTTATACCTGCGTCTTCTAATAAGTCAACTCTGATTACTTCCGATTGACCTGTTAATATATCAACTTCGACTTCAGTTACAGCTACACCGTATATATTATAATCCTGAATGTCTTTCCGGCTAACAAAGCCGTGCGCCTGCAGATTTACGTTTTGATCATGAGCAGCGACGATTAGTTCCTGCCAAGTCGGGTTTCCAAGTTGCTCTCTTATAGGTTGCAATCTTTCAAGCAACTGTTTGCAAGCTCTTTCTACTCCCAATGCCGTGAACATCGAAGCCAAACTTCCACCGGTTATGAACCCGTTACAGGCGATCATAGTATTATTGGGTTTAATTTTTATGAGGTTTAAAGGTATTTTTAAAAAGTAGGCGCAAACTTGAGCAGCCTTAGTATTGATACCTTGACCCATTTCGACACCACTGTGTACGATGTCAACAGTACCATCGTCATGATAGACAGATAGAGTGGTGACAAATATTGGACCTCCTGATGGAGCCCATCTCATCAATGAAAATCGTAAGCCACGTTTCTTCCATCTATTTTTCTCATTAAACTTGTCAACTTCAAGCCGCCGACAAGTATAGTCCGAGCTTTCTTTTACTGTATCTATCATTTCTAACAAATCTTTGTAGTTATCTGTATCTAAATTAGACAAACGCACTTGAAGAGGATCCGCTGACATCTCGTATGATATTCGTTCCATTATATTTTCAGCCATAACGATGGCTTCCAATGAACCTGATTTAAAAACAAAATGAGACATATAAATGTGTACTTTGACAATATTATAGAGATACCCGATTTAATTTTAATGGAATAACAACCTGGAGACCTGCACCACGAATTGGAAGCGGTGTCAGTGATGCAGTTGTATGAGACGTAGTCCCAACGACTAGCTCTATAACAGTTGTTGTACACGCCGTCCCCGATCATGATGAAAGGCTCGTTTACAATGTACCCATTGTCTTCGTACAAATCGTATTTTAGATACTGTATAGCTCCTTTACCATCAACTTCCACCTACAAAATTTTATTGGCTACCAACTAGTACAAAGTATATACATGTTTGTATAGCAGTAATATGTATATTATATCGACGGTTTGATAATCATATTGCAGAGTGTTTACCTCAAAAGTAATAGTACAAGGCAGCCTCTTTCCAACGGTTCTCATGTTAGTGGTCAGGGACTGTATGAACCGACAAGGTCGCTTCAATTTTTGAACAACCATGTTACAAGCCACTGCTACTTGATTTGATCGCGATATTTTAATGCCAAAAGCTCCACCGATACGACGAACATACACATCGATACTTAAATCACATAATAATACTTAAGATTAATATCCATACATATATTCACAACATTAACGAACAATCTTTAGGTTTAAAATGAAGAATCCTATTCTTATTTCTATTACATTATTCTTTTTAACTTTGAAATGCTAAGTACTAACCAGTTTTCTTGCAAATTTAAAGCTCGAGAAGTCGTCATTTGGACTCCGTCGATCCACTGAGATGCAGGATGCACCTTTATCCCTTGCTCCGTTGGTTTTGAAACACATACTAAGGTTTCCATACTGAAATGGTACTGGCCATATATAGTGTTCTCTCCTGTAATCTTTTTACAAACATCAGTCCCTCTGTCTGTGGCGGCATGCGTTGTATACAGAGTACGCCGGCTAGAGTCGTCTTTCGCTTTCTTAATGTCCAGCACCGGCTTTTGAACATTGCTATACTTTGCCGTTACCAACTTAGCAGCAACGTCTGCTATATAGCGTGTTTCTGCCACAATTATTCCTATAGCTTGGTTGAAATATTTAATTTCTTTGGCGCATAACAACTCCTCGTCTGTTTCATAAAAGACCGTACCCGCTGGTGTGAAGGAATTTACACCAGGTATATCTTTAGCTGAATAAAATGCGATAACGCCTGGTTGTTTCTGAGAAATTATAAAATTACTGGTATTTCAAATCGTTATCAACTTCTTCACACTTAACGTAAAATACCGTTTTATTAAACTTACCAGGGCTTCGCTGGCATCAATAGATTCTAAAGTTCCCAATGGTACTGTGCTCAGTACAAACGAGGCAAATACTTCTTTAGGGATAGGTGGTATGTCTTCTACATAATGTGCTTCTCCTGAACATTGTATCTAAATAAAATTGTAACATTAACGTATTTAGTAGTAAAACATTTTAAGACGCTATATATTTATCTTACCGTCGCTTCTAATTTCATGACGGGCTGGTTTAGCGGCCACAAGGAAGGGTCGGTGTCAAAACTTTGTCTGCCACTCGATAATTGCCGACTGTCGTGTATCTCAGTACCGCCGGATTGATATTGCGATGACAGTATACTTGGTGGACAAAATGAGAGTAAACCCTGGTGAATGTAAATTGTTGTTAAACTTAGAACGTTTTTAAAACGTAATTATATTTATTTTGTATCAATACTCACCTTATAAAACAATGAAATAGCCACATGTTTTCGATATGCTACCGATGGTTCTGGGGGATTTTCAGTTACAACTAGTTCCTTAACTAAAGCCTGTATGGCTAACTGTAATGTGGCGTTATCAAAAAGGGTTTTGCCTATCAGACTCATTTCTGTATTAGTCGCTCTCGTAAATGCTGGCGATAATCCGCCATATGTAATTCTCGCTGTAGATACTTTACCTGTCGATGTAATGTCATACAAGAAGCCAGCGTTTACTATCGCATGCGCGTTTTGCGCCCGAGGTGCTATCTGGAACAGTTATCCTATCAAAAACGTATATCCAAAGGTTCAAGTATTGCAGGGCATCATGGATCCAAAAAGTATTTATTTCACATATAAACAAGTGCTTTCATATTACCTTATATGTTACAATTTTATTACTTTTATTTAACGGAGGCAACATCACATTAATTATGATTTTCCCTTTTAAATTTTGTTTAAGAAAATCCTGCATATTTAATGTTGTTTTGCTTGTTTTGGACTTTGCTGTAAAATAAAAGCATCATTTTAAGAAAAAGTCGGTACTTAATATGCATAACCTAAGTAACCACATACTACACCTATAGTAACTTGGGCTCCGACAGTTTCTAACAGCAAAAATATATCTGATTGAAATTCAGGATTCCGATGTTTTATAACCAAATTTCCAGCAAGTGTTGCAATCTATAATAAACAGGAAATTTTAATTGACTTAAAAACACCAAATTGTTTTCGAATAGTTAATGTTACTTACATTGCGCACAGCTACATGAGCTACTTTTTCTAAATGTTCATTTACCGTTAATAAATAGCTAAAGTTTTCTCTTTGAGACACTGTCTTAAATATTTCAATAACTTCTGTTATTGTCAATCCTGCCCCAATTACTAAATTTTGATCAATCACGAATGTCTTCAGTTGAGACACGTTATTAACATCAATCAATACTAGGGGATACTCAGTTATTGGATAAACTCCTGCAAGAAAATTATTACAATATTTATGCCGATAAATTTTATTCCTACAGTCTTATATTGAACTATAACCATAACATTACCTTTGGCTGTATTTCCTGCAACCAACATGTATGACTTATTCCCTTTTGTTTTTAAGATATCAAATATTTCACTGACAGTTTCTGCTGAATACCAATCTCTATTATCGTGTAATACGATATGTTTCACAGTGTTTGCATAGATATCGTCTTTGGTGACGATACACCAATCATCTTTATCACAAGAACCTTTACAAGCGTTGCCGGTACGGCTACATATGTGTAGATCTTCAATGTCTTCTACTGTTACTCGATCAGCGGCGTCGCTGCCGAATTTTTTGAAAGCGTCCAAAATGGGCCTGTAGCCAGTACATCTGCAGATGTTACTTGATAAAGATTTTTCGATCTCAAGCCTTGTAATATCTGGTTTACTTTTTAGTAGGCTGAAATTTGTTTTAAACGTTACAAGTAAGTTTTGAAATTGTTTTTGCATTCATTAGAAAGTTTAAAAGTTAAAGTAAGTACCAACCTATACATAGTCATGATCCAACTGGGACTGCAGTAGCCGCACTGACTCCCGTTGTCTTTCGCGAGCTGCTGTTGTAATTTGTTATAACCCTTAGCTTGATCTCCCAGACACTCAATGGTCGTTATTTCCCAGTTCTGGCACGATGTAATTGATACCATACACTACGAACATACACAGTAGAAGAAATTGAAAATGAACATAAAACAAAAAAGCAAAGTATAAGTAAACCATTACTGCGTTTATTGATGTATGCGGCGCACCCGGGTGCCGCACGGCGGACACAATGCAGGCGCCGCATCCGGCCTCGCGACACATGTATTTGGTGCCGAAGAGATGCAGCGACGACCGCAAGTAGTCCAACAAGGTGGTAGTGGAATCCACCTCGCTTCCCACTGCGCAAACATTTTAAATGGTGAAATATTTATTTCTCTTAAAGATATTTTTTAATTTTACGACACCGTCTTCTTGTTAAGAAGACTTAGCTTAACTTGGCTTGAGTATCGTATCGTTTTTTGCTTTCTTCTTGGGTCTGAAGATCCGTTCCGGAAAGAGATAGTTTCGGATAATTTATCCACTTATAAATACGTGAAAAATCCTTAGATTAAAGTGCGTACTGGCATTCAATCACGATCAAGTTTGCTTTAATATACTTATGACTAAAACATCAACTTACCTGAATATCTAACACCGTTTACTGCAAACCAAATTCTATCCATTATGTTACCGCTGTCGGCTCTAAAATGTCTCGATCTATCACTCAGGGATCACAATTACAAATATCTACACACTGAACGCTCGACGCAATAAAAATGCAAATTGCAAGATAAAACTTTATTTACTTAGGTGATCCATTGGCAAACGGTTTTGCTCGCGTTAAGCGGGTGATCCGTTGGCAAGCAAAACCGCTGGTCCGTCAACGAACCCGCGAGCCAATAGTCTAAATCGCCAATGGAGCACTTAAAAACCGTCGACTTGCTCACTGGCTCGGTGTGCATGCTTGAATTTAGTTCGCGGTCTAAAAAACCGTCAGTGGATCAGGCGAAACGGTGAGCCGACATTCTTTCGGCAGCCTTGGTGGCAAGCGCACCACAAGTAATTATTGAGATTACTAAACTTTGTCTTTTTAGAGAAGCACGCCAGGGAAGCGAATAAACATTTCTTCTTTATTTCAAGTTACTCCGTCTGAGAGAATGATATAATTCGCCAATGCTAAGAGTACACTGTTTGTTATGCCAAAGGATCAGTAAGGCAAATCGAGGAGCCAACGATTTAAACTATAGCTCCCCGACTCGCTAATGGATCACCCGCTTTACAGTTCAAAAGGTACAATTGCGTTACTTAAGTAGTCGTTGCCTTTGATAAGATAAGACTTAGAACTATTTCAAAATTCAAACACTTGAAATTAGGTAACGAAAATAAAACTGCCACATGTGTTTGCATATCAACAACATGCACAAAGGTATATACATACTTAATGAGCTCGTGCAAATATAATAACTACCTTGGTCACAAGTATAAATATATATATTTTTTGTTTTTAGTGACTGGGTCTTACGTGCAGTACCTAATGCTGCTGCGGACTCTACCACTGTTTAGAGATAATAAACAATTTGTGGTGAGCCTACAGATTATAAGTTCGTTTTTTAAAATCTGTATCTTACATCTGCAAGTGATGGCCAAAAACCTTCATATTTTTATAATTTTTAGACTTTAAAAATATAAAATTTATAATTAAAAAGCAATAAATATGGAAAGGCGGTATCAAAACAACATGGCATAAGTATGTCCGAACATCGATGTCGCACTAAAAAATACAATTCAATGAGCCACAAATTTCATGGTGACTGCTATCAAATAATTTATTTCGAACCGGGTTTTTTATCTTAATAAGTATTCATACTTTTATATTTAGTTACTTTATAATTTATCTCTACTTCGCTTTTACTTTTGAAAAACATATTTTTTGTGAATTAGCTTCAATTAAAATGATAATAAACAAAACTTGACACATAGCAGTATCATTTTTATTACCCGACTGATTACGCGCGTATGTAAATTTCTTTTATGTATTTGGGCCTTACATTTACATACGTAAATTTTCTTAGCGACGGCCGAAAGACTATCCGACTTAACGACTGACCTGATTTTGATGATTGAGGTGTTATTCGATTCGTCTTCACCCCTTCATTGCACTATGCATTGGTTAAATAAAATAAACTACAATATTAAAACAGTTATTATTTTTAAAAATGTAATTTACAAATTCACCATATACTAAAGTTAATAAAATTTAAACAATTCAAAATTGGTAGCGGCAGAGAGACAGATTTTTTCATATGTGTAAGGTCCATCTGAAATCAAGAAATTATTAGATTATTAATTTCTGTTATAAGTAGCTAGTGTTATAGCTTCAAATATAAATTATATATAGAATAACCATATGCGTTATTGAAAAGTAAAACTAACAAAATAATACTTACCTAAATCAAACCATTGATTCGTAGGTATACCGCATTCCAATCTTGCAGATGTTATGGCCTCTCTTATTGCAAAAGGCACAACTATCGCCATACATGTGGCCGGCTCACCGGTTGCTATAAAATTTATACAATTAACAACATTACTAAAAAGCCCATATTTAAATAAACCTTACAAATTTAATAAAGATATTTACAGATATAAACTACAAAAGTTATATTTTCCATTTACCTTTAGATCCGAGGATAGCATCGTTGCTATAAGATTTTTTCCTAAAATATATTCTCAGATCTTGTGGTATATCCCGCGCCTGCGGTACCCAGTACTCCCAGGTACGATTTGTTAACAACTCTCCAGTATCGGGATTGTATACCAAGTTTTCTGAAGTCCAATAACCGAGACCCATGACGAAAGCTCCTTCTACCTGCAAAATGTATACAATTTATAAATAATATCAAAACTTTTGACGAGATGGTGTAAGTACCAGTTACATTTACAGATATGACCAAAATGTGTAAAGTAATTTTATACATATGTTTATTTTTACTTACTTGACCAATATCTATTTCCGGGCTGACACTTCTTCCAGCGTCTTCTAATAAATCAACCCTTAACACTTCCGTTTGACCAGTTAATATATCAACTTCGACTTCGGCTATTGTTGCACCGAATATGTTATATTTTTGAACGTCTGTACCATTAACGTGGGCGTGCGTTTGCAGGTCAACCTCGGCAGCGAATGCACTTTGAATCAGTTCCACCCAGGTTGGGTTAGTCATTCTATTCCTGACAGGTTCTAGTTTCAATAAGAATGCTTCACAAACTTTCTGCACACCGATACCCACGTATTGTGATGTCAAGCTTCCACCTGATATAAATGCATTAGGTGCTATGATAGTATTGTTCGCTTTGATCTGAACCATTTCAACTGGTATTTTGAGAAAATATGCACAGATCTGAACAGCTTTAGTGTTTATCCCTTGACCCATTTCAATGCCGCTGTGTGTGATGATAACTGTACCATCATCATGGTAAACTGACATGTTAATATCCAAATAGAAACTCCCAACAGGAACCCACTTCATGAACGCAACTCGCAGACCACGTTTCTTCCATCGATTCTCTCTATTAAATTTATCGACTACACTTCTACGTTCTGTGTACTGGGAATTCTTTATTATTGTTTCAGACAACTCTGTCATATCCTTTTGTACTTCGGGATCTAAATTGACTAAGCGCACTTGTATAGGATCTAACGAAAGCTCGTAACTTATACGTTCTAGTATTGATTCTGTCATTGCTATACATTCAAGGGTACCTGTAAAAACATAATATACATAATATACATGTATGTTATAATCAAAAATTTTAGTACTAATGAAAATTTAAGGAGTTTCACAAGAACCGAAATATGTATAACCAGAAACCTAGGCATAAATATTTGTTATGAACATTCAATATACAAATTTATTAAGTACCTGGAGATCTACACCATGTATTCGATGGATTGTCTGTAGTGGTGTTAAATGATCTGTAATTCCATCTGGCTTTGTTGTAACAATTGTTGTAAATGTCTGTTGTAAGTGCTAAGAAAGGTTCGTTTACGATATACCCGTGGTCGTCATACAGATCATAATTCAAATATTGCACCACTCCTTGAGAATTTACACCAACCTAGAAACATCCTTGAATTTTTATTATGCAATATCTTTATTTTGTATTAACCTAGTCTCTCCATTATTATTAAAAAAAGTATCATGTTTAAGAAATTTAAGCGATATAAGATTGTCTCGGTCATATTCTTTCCGAGGTATTTTAATTCTTCTAAACTTTTTAGATTTACTACCGCACTCAGAGTCATTGAAACTTAGTATGATAATGTATAACAAGCGTGTTTCAGTAACATTATAACGGCTCTGTGTTAGGCAGTTAGTTATAATTGTCTTCCAGTGACCTGATATTCTTATTAATAAATCGTACTTCAAAATTAGTGCTACAAGGCAGTCTCTTTCCCACAGCCCGCATGTTATTGGTGAGCGATTGTATGAACCGGCAGGGGCGGTTCAGGTGGTGCGCGACCAAGTTGCAGGCCACGGCCACCTGTAGCGAGCGCGTTATTTTGTAGCCGTACGCGCCGCCAATCCGACGCACGTGCACGTCAATCCTACAAACAATTGAAGAAATGTCATTTGACCATAATCTTTCTAAATAAAATCTGCTCCTTCTTCTACATCTTTATTAACAACTTAATCTTATGACCATGACTCACTAAAAAATCTTTCAATCTTCTCTTTGCTTAAAATCTTACATCTTTCAACTTACTTGTTCTGTGGTAGATTTAGTGCTCGCGACGTAGCCACTTGCACTCCGTCCATCCACTGCGTGGCCGAATGCACTTCCAATCCTTCCTCAGTGGGCTTGGTCACACAAACTAGCGTCTCCATACAAAAATGATATTGTCCGTAGATAGTAAATGAACCATTTATAACTTTGATTGCATCACTTCCTCTGTCTGTTTGAGCTATATTCAAAAACATAGTATTTCTACCTGTTTCATTTTTAGCTACTTTGATATCCAGAAGAGGTCTTTTTACATTTTTATATTTAACTGTTACCAATTTTGCGGCTCTGTCAGCTATTGCACGTGTTTTAGCGACAACTATTGCTATGGGTTGGTTATAATATTTAACTTTTCCGTTGCACAAAAGCTCCTCGTTAACCGGACTTAGCAACGCACCCGAAGGAATGAACGAGTTAACACCTGGTATGTCTTTGGCTGTGTAAAATGCTATAACTCCGGGCTCTCTCTGCGAACAAGAGATTCTAATTATTAAAAGTGTTACTGCAAGACTTGATCTTATTAATTATTTTTCTAATGTGGCAATATGTCAAATACTAACTACTTTGACACTTACCAATGCTTGAGTAGAATCAATGAGATCTATATCTCCGAGGGCGACGGTGCTGAGGACAAAGGAAGCGAACACTTCCTGCGCCAAGGGCGGTATGTCTTCCGCATACATCGCCTCTCCCGAGCATTGGATCTACAAATTTTCAATATGCTGTATGTTAACTTTGCCTTCATTTGAGATTTTGAGCAATGTGATATGGGAAATCAATTATTAAAAATTATATTTTGTTCTTATAGAAATTACTTAAGTTTCAAATTAAAACATTTTACTCGCCTGCCCTTCCAGTTTTGGTATCGGTTGATTGACAGGCCAAAGAGTTGGGTTTGTATCGAATATTTGTCGGCCGTCGGAC